TTAAAGGATTGTAGTATTTGGATCAGAAAATAAGCAGTGGGGTATTCCAAAGAGAGAAAATGACTTGTCTAAGGCCTAAAAGCTCATGAGTACAAGGAATATTCTGAAAGAGCTAGTTCAGACTTTTCTCCATGCCTCAGATTACATGGCTTGCATTCCTCCCAGTACACATGGCTATAGGGCTGTGGCATTTACAAAAAAGTTTTGGTCAGTACCTAATGATAACATAAAACCATGAATGGATTTTTTTTCTTTCTTTGGGTCAAAAACTAGAATTAACCTCCATTTTTAGCTTGATGAGGAAGTTACACTGAGGAGTATGTGTAACTGCAGTTATTTCACAGCTGTCATGGCTCCACTAATCATAATAACTACTAACATTTGTTTCCACCTTTATAGCTTAAAATCAAGACAAGCTAAAGGGAAGGTCAAGATATTCTGGCCTGCTAAGAATTGGACAAGGTAGAGAAAATAGTTAACATAAGTTAAATGATCTCTGAACAATTAAAAATCTGCTAATGAATTGCATGCCACACGTGAATCAAAATACATCTCATACAAAAAATAAGTGACATTAATTACTGTCATCCATAATAAGAAAGCAAAGTTGAAATTTTTTCTAATGAGCTAATGTGACCCGTTATTGACAGGAACAGCCCATGTTAAATTAAGTTTTAGTGACAGTAGAAAAACTACATTGGAAACTTAGTAACAATTCCTAAATAGGTAGTCTTTTTGTTTGCTTTTTAAATGTAAAAAGATTAAAACTTAAATTAGGTCCTTCCAAACCATTGCCATAGAATATCTTGGATTACATAAGTAAGCAGATACACACGAGCTTAATTTCTAATTTAAAATGTGACTCCTGGCCAGTAAAATCATGCTAAAAATAGAAAGAGGGCTTTCTTAATGTCTATCAAAGATGACTTCTTTTATTCTTGACTTTGACCCCATCTGACCCAACTGCTCAGAATGTTTTAGTATAAGCCACATTATGTAAATTTATTCCAAGTATTTACAAGGGAAAAGAATGCAAATTAGCCTGGTGAGCAGCAAAATAGAGACAGTTTTTATGAAATCTGAATTGTGTTAACCTGTAATCAAATGTAATCTCCATTTTAATATTTATACATCTTTATATTGTTATGAACCTTAAAAAAAACCATGGGTTTTATTTTATTTGTTTCCCTCCTCCCTCACTTCTGTAAAATGCAGAAGGGAATGGATATTTATTATTCACACATTTGTACCCCACTAACTGGTGTTACACATCTGGCTTCCACTGGAGAGCCCCTGACATCCCAGGGAACGGTGATCAAAATTCCACACACTAGCTTCAAGCTGGGGGCTCGTAGCTACTGCAGCATTGAAGGGGGTCTTTTCCTGGCTTCTTTAAAATAAGCATGGTGATGGGATGGTTTAAGGGAAGAACACCTCTCAAATCACATGACCACTGCTGTGCTTCTGTGTGTCCTGCTTACTTCATAACAGCTTGGCACTACATTTTTCCTGTATCTTAGTGGGCTTTGTGTATGTATGAGTGGGATGTCGTGGGGGCAGGGGGTGTCAGTGAATGGTTATACGTTATGCATGCATCTTTCAATGTTAGAGTGATGTGCCTTCCCTTATGTGTCACAGATTACAGTCACAGATTAAATCTTCTGTGCTCCTGAGAGATTGAGCCATCTCTCTCTCTTAATGTAAAATTCATGTGTTTTGATGTTTACACCCTCAATTTTTCTTCATACCACATTAAACATAAATCAAAATGTTCTCCCATAAGAGTTAGCTTTTCATGTTGGGCTGAAAAAGTCTTCATTTCTGTGTAGCAATTCATGTTATTATAACCTATGGCTTTCAATTGTACCTCCCATAATGAAGAGCTGACTTTAAACACTGTGCTATTCTTGTTATGACCTAAGCATAAGGTAAGTCACTTCTCTAACTGTATCTAAAGATTGTGGTTGTTTGTTAAAATTTTCTCAGCTTTGTTTAAAGCATTTTCACTTTTTTTCCCTTACGATTTATTACATATTCTCCTCCCCCCTTTTGTTTTCTGTTTCATGGCTTAAAATTTCTTAATGGACATTGTGATCTTCAGCAAAAATTATATTACACGTGTAAACACATTGAAATGAATTTGATGTCTGAAAGCAGTCTTGATTAGTAAATGAATACCTGTATTTTCAGTGTTTTTCATTCCCTCCATTGACTTTAATATGATGTACTGTTCTTACACATTTTTTAAATTTTGATTCCAGTTGAAAGAGGAATTATCAACACCATAAATCAAATGTTAATTGTAATAACATAACATAATCCAATAAAATAAAGTCATAGATAATCCAGTACCATACCTTTCATTTTTAGTCCCTTACAAATTTGATAATAGGCCAAAATCTTGGTTATATTTTGTTTTTCAGACTTACCATTTTTTTCCCCATTGAGTAGAAAGCCAGTGTAAGATAAAGAAAAAAATCCTAAAACTTGAAACAGACCTATGTTACTTTCTTTATAGTCCATACGTATGGACTGTACAAGAACAATTGTTTTTTAACTTTATTCTTTCAAGTTAGGTAAAATCCTCATATTGAGATTTTTTTAATTAAGTACATGTTATAAAGATGACCAATTTCATGTTGCAAGAGAGAGGGGCATCTGCACATGCATAAATATTGAAAATGTTTTTAAAATATTTTCATCAATTTTTTTATACCTACTCAAGATCTCAGTAAAAAAGTTCATGTAATCATTGAATTTAAAAATGATTTCCCTCAAATCTGGGCCAAATATAAATGAAAAAACATTGGTTATACTGCTGTTTGCAGTTTGAAAAACCTAGACAAATACTCAGATCCAGGGAATTGAATTGTTTTCATCATCCAAATTTCTCTTCCAAAACTGTTTGAAATCTACACATCTAAACTGAGGTGCCACAAAACAAAACTTGGGTTTCTTTATTAAATTTATGCTATGGATGAATTTTTTGTTAAGTTTTAAGCTGCCTAGGGAATGGAAAAATTGTTTTTTTATTTTGGTTTGGTTTGATTTTGTTGGTAAAGCCAGCTGGTTCTTCACCACCATTTCCATTTAGACATTATTTAAATCTGTTGAAACATTTGGTGAGACAGTTTGAACTACTCATCTGAACTGCTCTGTTCATTGTAAATCTCTTGTTTCTATTCATATACTAGCTCCACTCTAGATTGGAAGGGCTTAAAGATGAACTCTGGAGGAATAGAGGCTACGACTTCAGAGTAACTATTGCGATCAGAGGAGCTGCTTTCCATTCGCAAACGTTGTTTTGCGCCATGGGTTTGGGCTCCTTCTGCTTCTACATCTTGTTGAAGACTTTCTTGGCCTCCATTTGACTTCTTTGAACTCTGTTTTTGTCTTCCAACATTTTCCCCTTTTTTTTCCTTCTCTTTCCCAGATATTCTTTCACTATTTTAGCTTTCTCTTGTGTTCTTTGAATCATTTTTTAAAATATACTTATCTCTTTATTAAGCTCGTCTATTAATTTGTCTACTAGTTTTTATTTCTTTTCTCCTTTGAAGCTGTAGTGGTAGAGTTACACCTATTTTCATTCCATGGTATGCCAACTTGCTTGTTTATCTTGCAGCAAGTTCATTAGTCATTCTTACCCTCTTTGTATGAATTTTCAATAACACAGAACATTCTCTGTTTATATATTGTCTTTTATAAGCCCATACTTTCTTTTTTATTGCCTAGATTTAATACCTCAAACTTCTCTCTTCTTTTTCTTTTCCTTGCTCTTGTCTCCTTGTATTGTTTTCTTTAAGCAATCATTAATTTCTTTCCCATTTGGTCCAGAATTGTTTCTCAATAAAAGTAATGAATAAAAGGATATAAGAATATTATCTTCCTTATTAGCTTCTTCATTCCAGAGTATTTAAAACTAATTAAACAATCTGGGCCAAAAGAGAATAACTTTAGCATCTGGAATTATTTTTCCCTTTTTTTTTTTCTTTTTTTGGTGTGTGTGTGTGTGTGTGTGTGTGTTTCTTGTGTGTATGTTTGTGGTTTTCTTTATTGTTGTTGTTTCTTTAAGCATTAACAATTGTTTTTTTCAGGGAAGGACAACCATAACCCACCCTAAGTTGCAACATCCCTTTCATAAGTTGTTTCATTACAACAGTAGATTGTGTTAAGCAATAGAAATTAATTTGTTGTGTACATATATCCATTTGGGGCAAGCTGCTGCGGAGTGGGAAGAAGAGGTGTAAAGTTTAAATATAGTTTCCTCTGAAATTAATAAGTATTAATGCCATCCAGCATAGTCCTTGAATTCAACAGTTTTGTACCATTTAAAAGAATAACCCACTTGGACTTAAAACATTTGAATCAAAGCATAAGGGCTTCTGATTGATAAGCTATATATATACCTAAGAAGTGATAAATAAATAAATTGAATTTCATTGATTTCCAAGAAAAGCAACTTTATGACCAAACCAATATTATAACCAATTATTATAATCAATAACAAATATCAGTAAAACTCCAAATACTGTATATGAGGATTTCCCTATTTTCCCCTCATTAACTGAAAATGACAATGTGATATTTTATTACAACTTTTTTATTATTATATAATAATTGCATTATTATTCTAAGTCAAGAGATATGCACAGTGACTTAGAATTAAGGGTTTGTATTAGGAACTTAATATGTGGTAACTTGAATTTTTTTTCCATATACTAATTTCAAATACACATCAATAAAAAATTGCCTTTGATTTTATCTCTGTCCTGCCTAAAATACTGTACCCCCAATTTTTTTGTAGAAGTCAGTTCTTTAAAGTAAGGAAAGGATAAATAAAAGATACATGGAACAAATATAACATTTTTACTAACGTTATGATACATAAGTATATAAAGCCTTTGCTTCTAGACCTCAGGAGCTTGCCCATTAAGTTTGCATTCATATCTGACTATCTGTATTATGAGCTCTAAATTACTGAGTTTATGCTTTCTCTGCAGGTCCAGTCCAGGTGCAGCAGCAAGGAGAACATTCTCAGAGCAAGTAAGTATGTCATCATTTCAGATGGACTACCAAATTAGAGCTTGTAGCTTAACAGAAAGGAGAGCTAAAAATGACATTTTGATGAAAGAATGAAGAGCAATGGGGAAAGTTTATATCAAGAATATGAATATTGGGGCTTTCACCTTCCAAAAATATTAGTATCAATATATTAATGAATATTTCCCTATTCCAGTTGTTTTTGCAAGCTGACAGCAGAACTTTGATGGCACTCCTAGTAGGGTAGTAATGAATTCCTCTGTGACCTGAAGAGGAGAACCCTCTTTAATTGCCCCACTTCCAAAAAGTTGTTTGAAAACAGACTAACTGAAAATAATAATAATAGAAATCTACTAAAGGACTCTTGACTTTTAAAAAAGTGACTCTAAGAGGGCACATCATACTCATATTGTGAACATGAATTTTGAAAGATCTTACCACAGGCAGCATGTTTTAAAACATAGTGCCCTGAACCAAGGATGAAGAAATGTTAATTTTATTTTACTGTTTGATCAATAATAATATTAACTTGGAAGTCATTTAACTTTGCATATTATTCATTTTACTGGATTATAAAAAGAAACTATAAATAGTCTTTCCTTACCTGTATCCTTGAAATGATGTAACATTGAAGGTTGTGCCTTAAAAGCTTTAGAATCCTGAGAGAAAAGTGCTGGATAAATGCTAATCATTTTAATATTGTTCACTCTCACTTGATATTAATAATGTCATCCTATCTTCTTCCTGATCTTTATCAAGAAAGGTACAAGTGGACCATACTGAAATGGGTCAATTGGATACTTATGCCACTGGAAGTTTCAGTAAATGGGGTGGTTTATATTTCCATTAGAACATGCGTTATTTAACAATCAAAAAAGCAGTTGGGGAGTTTCAAATAGGTAAAATTCATTCATGTTTTATTTTCTTTAATATAAATTTTTCCTAATTCCGTTTTGTGATTCTGTTACTTCAGCTTAAAAACCTTGAGTTGATGGGCAAGCATTCTCTAATTGTTTGCCCAGGACCTTCAGAGTCATGTAAAAGTAAATGCAAAAAGGCATTTTTAACTTTTATACTTATGTTAGTTTCTACAACTTCATAGACATGTGAATCTGACAGATGCCCTTCAATTATAAGAGATGTAAAGTCCTATAATCGTTTACTAAGACCTAGGGTTGAGAAATCTAAGTCAGGAGAGTGATGGTTGAATATACACTAAAATAAAGCAATAGAGATAAATGAACTTTAAACATGAAACTTTATGATGATTATTGTATGATTTCCATTTATTGCTGACCCTGAAATAATAATGGATCATTGGTAGTAATTATGGTGATTAGTAACAAAAATAATTTCTTACTGAGAACAGATTTCTTTGAACCCTTTTTCACTCTATCATGGATCTTTGTGTTGTTAGGACTATCTTTCATTTCAGTTATGCTCTTACTTGTTTGTTGGATATTAATCACTTTGGATCAGCATCATGATGGTCCAGGTTTTTCTGACTGTGTTTTCTTAGGATGTAATAGTAATGTAGGTGGTCCACATAGCCATTTAGGTCTACATAGAGAGCCCATCCTACAGCATAGCCTCATAGTTCTGTGACTTCTATAAATTTAAATCTTTCCTCTCAATACCACTTTAGTAACTCATACTCATGCTCATAGCCACACCCAGGTCTCTTCTCACCATGAGCTGTTCTACTCTGAATGTCTTTAGTTCAATATTTCATTGCTTATTTGGCCTACTTTTATCTCCCTCATTTTCTTCCTTTGCCATGTGCTACTACAGTGCAGTCATATAGACCCAGTTAGCAGTTCCCCATTCTCTCAGTGCTATGTCCTACATCTGTTCCTTTGGTTCCCCTGCTGCATAAAATACCCATTCCCCTTATTTTCCTAGAAAACCCTGAACATATCCTTTAAGACTCAGCACAAGTGTGACCTATTCAAGGTGACTAATCCCTCTTGTATACCTCTACTGTTCCTTCTACTTTTATCCTTTTTTCATTTATTTACTGAATTAACTATCCTCAAGGAAAACATTTCCGAAGTGTAGCCAACATAAAGAAAACTATAATAAACTTCATTTTTAGCATATATAAAAATGTGTCAAAACAAAAGCCAAGTGGATCCTAGAAAAAAAAGCAAAGTTAAATCTTAACAGAGCTTGTCTAGAATTGTCCAAGCAAGAGTTAACTTTGCTAACTTTGTTCAAGTAACAGGTAACTTTCCTTTGGTTCCTCAGAAATATCAAAACAACCTGTTAATGATAAAATGGAGTTTATTCTTAGTATGGTAAGGGAGAATGCCACTTCAGTAAAGTCTTAGTCTCAGATTCAGAGTGTCAGAAAGGGAAGGACAAACTCAGGATATTTTTGAGATTTTGAAGCTTCATTTAAAATAGATATTTTAGTGTTGTGACTTGATTAGAATTAAATAAGGATCATTACATAATCATTTAGGGCTCATGGACACAGCAAGGCTGAGAATCTTGGTGCATAAATTGTCTTTGGATATTTTCTATTTAAGAAGTTTCTGGAATGAGCAATACAATTTACAATTTTTATCACCCAGGAAAGGATTTTCTGGAATAGTTATGTTAAGAAAGACAGTGGAATAGTAATGTTATACTAATGAGGACATTATAACCTGTATGGTTATAGACCGTTTCAGGTATCAGTTCTTATTGTGGTCAATCTTCAGTGTGACCTGAAAGATCATTAACAGCAGAGAATGGGATTAATCCAGATCCAGAGCTTCATCCCTATGTAAGAAATCACAGTAGTACATCAACTAAGGAAGTTGTTTCAACCTTCATATGTGTCAAGGTTTCCTGTGTTGTTGAATGTTCATTTATTGAACTTCTGATGAGACAGCAGCCATAGAGCATCATTTAGGACAATGGAGATCTTATTTCTGAACCCTGCTACACAAATGTAAGAAGAATTATAATCAGAGTTTATAGTTCTTTCTCAGCCAGAACCAAGACTATCCAAAATTAAGACGAGAACAACTATATGCCAACAAACTGGAAACCCAGAAGAAATGAAAAAATTCTTAGACACATACCGTCCACAAAGACAAAATCAGGAATAAATAGAAAATATGAACAGACTGATTACTAATAAGGAAATTGAGTCCATAATTAAAATCTCCCAAAGCAGAAAGGCCAGGACCAGATGTCTTCACCAGTGAATTTTATGAAACATTTAAAGAAGAATTAATGTCAATCCCTCCCAAACTCTTCCAAAAAGTTGAAGAGGAGGTAACTCTCCTGAAATCATTTTTAAAGACCAGCATTACCCTGTTACCGAAGTCAGAAAAGGACACTACAAGAAAAGGAAACTGCAGGTCAATATCTTTGATAAATATAGTTGCATAAATTCTCAATAAATTAAAGCAAACTGAATCCAGCAGCACATTAAAAGGATCATTCATTGTGATCAAGTGGGATTTATCCCTGGAATGCAAGGAGTGGTTCAATAGATCCAAATATATAAGTGTAATGAATCACATTAATAGAATGAAAGGAAAAAGTCATATAATCATATTAATAGACACAGAAAAAGCACTTGACAAAATTCAGTATTTGTTCATGTTAAAAACTCTTGACAAGGTAGGTACAGAAGGAATGTACCTCAACATAATAAAGACTATATATAACAAGCTCACAGCTAATGTCAATCTTTCTTGATGGTGACGGTTTGAAAGCTCTTCCTTTAAGATCAAGACAAGGGAACAAGATAAGGATGCCCATTCTCACCATTCCTATTCACCATACTATTGGAAGCCCTAGCCAGAGCAATCAGGCAAGAAAATGAAAGGAAAGGCATCAGATTTGGAAAGGAATAAGTAAAATTGTCTCTATTTGCAGATGACATGGGTTTTTTTTCTATTTCTTTTATTTATTAAGGTATCATTGATATGCACTCTTATGAAGGTTTCACAAGAAAAACAATGTGGTTACTACATTCACCCTTATTATCAAGCCCCCCATACCCCATTGCAGTCACTGTCTATCAATGTAGTAAGATGCCACAGAGTCCCTATTGGTCTTCTCTGAGCTACACTATCTTCCCCATGACCCCACACGCACCATGTGCACCAATCATGATACCCCACAATCCCCTTCTCCCTCCCTCCTTACCCACCCTTCCCCACACCTCCCCTTCGGTAACCACTAGTTCCTTCTTAGAGTCTGCAAGGCAGATGACATGATTTTATATATAGAAAATCCTAAAGACTCTACCAAAAACTGTGAGAACTAATTGATAAATTCAGTAAGGTTGCAGGATACAAAATTAACATACAAAAATCAGTAATATTTCTATATACTAAAATGTATTATCTTCAAAAGAAATAAAATTATTCCATATGCAACAGCATGAGAAGCAATAAAATACTTCAAAATACATTTAACCAAGGAGGTGAAATATGTCTACACTGAAAACTACAAGACACAAATTTCTTTCTTGATGAAAGAAATCAAAGAAGACACAAATAAATGGAATGTTGTCCCATGTTCATGGATTGGAAGAATTAATGTTGTTAAAATGTCCATACTACCAAAAGCCATCTATAGATTTAGTGCAATCCCTATCAAGATTCCAGCTGCAGTTTTCATAGAAGCAGAAAACAAAATCCTAAGACTTACATGGAACCATAAAAGACCCTAGATAGCCAAAGCTACCCTGAGAAAGAACAGAGGAGGAGGCATCTTACTTCCTGATTTATATGTGTATTATAAAGCTATAGTAATCAAAATAGTATGATACTAGCATAAAAACAGACACCTAAACCAGTGGAACAGAATCAAAAGCCCAAAAATAAACCCATGCATACACAGTCAACTAATACAGGGAGCCAAGAATACTCAGTAGAGAAAAGACAGTCTTTTCAATAAATGGTGCTGGGAAAATTGGATATTCACATATAAAAGAATGAAAGTAGACACCTCTTACACCCCTCTCAAAAATTAATTCAAAGTCAATTAAAGATAAA